GATATATAATATATTGACAAAACTTACGGCTATTACCTCTCATTAGTTGCATGATTTAAATTTGATATACAATATATTGACCAAATAAACAAAAGGAATTATATGTAAAATTAAAATTAAATAAATAATTATTAATAACTCACACTTATAGGTTAATATTACTTATACGTAAATGGAATATTTAGTTATTTATAGTTTAATAAATTACTCACCTACTTATGTTTTTTATATATGAATAGTTTATACAAAAACAAATTCATCTTAATTCATGAAACAATGTAAGTTTATATATATACTTATTATTCACGTAGATTTTAAAATAAATGAAAAATTTTTACCAAAATAATTGTTTTATGAAATCATATTATAGTCAATCGAATTTCTGAATAAGAAATTTGAAATGACACTTATTTAGAAAGGAATATAATTTAATTTATTTTAAATTATGTGCATCGCACGGGTTGTACAAATTCTAATTAGACATTTTATGTAATTGTACACAACTTAAATTTTATATAATAGTTTCAATAAATTAATATAGGTAAATTGTATTATATATGATTCTATATTTTTAATTTATAAATATTATTTAATAAAAAATTTAATTTATAAATATTAATGAACATCTCTTACCCGTGCATCGCACGGGATTCGTACTAGTTGAAATATAAAGAACAATAGACAAAATTTATTTCTCGGTTGTCGAAGAACTCTTTACGATTCCATTATGCATAACGGTATTATCTCACTATAATGATTTTTTAATTTAAATTTTGTTTTAATAGTCTCCATAACCAATATCTGATTCATTTAGTGCGTATATTCAAAATCTTTTTTATATGGTAAGTATACCATATGTTTCTTTCTTTCTTTCCATAGACATATGGAATATCAACACCCACTTATATTCTCGGAATAATAATGAATGTAAACCTTTTTTTAAACCACCTTAAAAATCAGAAAGAGTTGATACCTTAAATTTGTTAATAGTTGATGGGCTTGGGCCTACAATTCGCATCCCGCCGGAGTTCAACCGCCTATTCTACCACCACAACCTGCCGTCAATTCAATGCGCGAGAGAAGAGATACACGCCATATTCAGGGAGTGCGGCGTCGGATCAACACCGACACGAACAAGGATACATGCGGCACCGCCATCTTGGCGCTACGAGCCGTCGAACA